CTAGTGATTCTAGGGAACAAGCAGGTGAAACAGTAAAACAGCAGGATCTGTTCCTCCCCCCCGCACACTTCATAGAGTCACAGATTGTTAGACTTGAAGTGGCCACCATTTGATCTCCTAATCTGACCTGGATTTCACAGGCCAGGAAGTTTCACCCACTTACCCCCATATTAAGCCCAGTAGCTTGTGTTTCACTAAAACACACCTTCCAGACAGACACCCAGTTGTGATGTGAGGACATCAGGAAACAGAGAATCCACCACTTCCCCTGGTAATTTGTTCGAGTGGTTAACCACCCTCTGTGTTAAAAACTGGTGCCGGGCTTCTCGTTTGAATGTCTCTGGCTTCAGCTGGCAGCCGCTGGTTCTTGTTCTGCCTTTCGCGGCTCGATTGAAGAGCACTTTGGGACTCGGTATTTTCTCTCCGGTCCTTCTCCACCGTAATCAAATCACCTCTCAAACTTCTTCCACAGCCAAATGAGATGGAGCCCCTGAAATATCTCACTTCAAGCCACATTCTCGAGCTGATTTTTATGTCTCTTTTATGCCCCCCTTCCAATTTTTCACCATCCTTTTTAAATCACGGACACCAGAACGGTACAGAGTATTCCAGTCGCAGTCTCACCAGTGCTACAGGGACCCAGAGACGCAGCAGCTGTGTACTCATTCGGGCGGGGGGGGGGGATACTGGCTAGATGGGCCCATGGGGGGTCGGGAATGGGGATGGGGGACACTGAGCTGCGGGGTCCATTAAGTAGATAGACGGGTACAGAGGGGTGCTCTGGATTTAGGTCCTTGGGCAGCTTCGGTCGTAGCTCCCAGGAATCTCTGGGATCTCGGAGCGGTTCCTCTGGCTGGGTTTTCTCCCTGGTGCCCCGTCTCTGTACGGTGAAGACACAGTGACTGTGCCGGGGTCTGTCTCATGGCCTGTTTTCTTCTCACTGCAGAAACCTACTACCCCAAACCCTCCATCTCCCTGTGCCCCCCTGAGTGGGGATGTTGCCCAGGGGGGAGCCATGACCATCCGGTGTCAGGGTCAGCACCAGAACGAGGTTCCTTTTGTACAACGTTGGAAACCTGAATGTGCTGCAGGGTGTGGAGCCGGCTGGGGAAGGGCTGAGTTTCCCATCCGCAACGTGAGCCGGAGAGACGCAGGAAGTTACAGCTGCCGATATAGCACCAAATCAGAGCCACCCGTCTAGTCAGAGCCCAGCGACCCCGTGGAGCTGGTGGTAGCAGGTGAGGGGCCCGGCTCGGAGTCCCCGCTCCTAGCCCCAAACCCAGCCAGCCTCTGTGGGGATCTCCGTGCTGATGGGACACTCAGAGCCAGGCTCTGCCCTGAGCCCTAGAGCCCATGGGGAGGTTCCCCGGCCAAGGGAGAGCAGCAGCTGTTAGAGATTCAGAGCTGAGGGATGGGGGATCGCTGCCTCCAGAGGGAGCTGCAAAGCAGGGGGTATTTCCCAAGGGGATGATCCCCCAGTTGCCCCCTGGGGACGCACAGAGGAGTCGAGGTCAAGGGACTCCTGAGTTGGCATCATCCCCAGCGCTGGGTCGGGTACATCAGCTGATCGGTACTTACGGGTCACGTAGATCTCTGCTTTGGGTCGTGGTTCTGTTTGGACCAGCAGGGGTGAGATCTCACCCCTGGGGCAGTGGGTGGGGAGATACTGGAGCTCCCTGGGGCAGGGGAGAGGTAGGTGGGGGGCAGTCCCAGGCTGGGGCAGTGAGGGAAGCAGGGCATATTCCTCCCGGCTGGTGGGGCTGGGCTGCTCTGGGTAGCTCAGTTCCGGGGGGCCGGGATACAGGAGATCGGTGCAGACTGTGGGGTCTGCCATGGTGGTGCCCTCGCGGCAGCCTGTGCTGGGGAGGAGCTGCGCTGCAGCGTCTGGGCCAGGTGGAGTCTGCAAAGGGCTGATGGCTTCCTGCCCAGCTCTATCACAGCGCGGTTTGGCCAATGGGCGCCAGCAGCGTGACCCAAGGGCAGGTCATTGCTGCCAGGATGGGACAGCGTCTCCTAGCCCAGCGCAGCAGGGGGAAAGCGCTGCTCATGGACGCTGCTACGTGACAGCTCAGCGGCCGCAGGGAATCCAGGAGCTCCCCAGACTGCAGCCTAAACCCACCGATTGTGGGCAAGCGCCGTCGGCCACCGGAGACTGCGCTGCACCTGCCGATGCCTCCCGGTGCTGCCCTCCGCCCCCAGCATCGCCCCTGCCTTGCTCGGGGTCAGCTCAGCTGCTGCTCTCCGGCCGTGCGCTGCCCCAGAGAACAGCTCAGTCGCTCTGTGTCCAGGGCAGGCCGGACGCAGTGAATGAGGCGGGGGCCACACATGTAGGGTTACCATCCGTCCGTATTTCCCCGGACATGTCCGGCTTTTGCGTCTCTAAATAGCCGTCCGGGAGGAATTGGTAACAAGGTTAAAATGTCCGGG